GCCGGGGATGAGATCAGATTCCTCCTACCACCGGTTGTTGGCGCCCTGGCAGGGGGACGGGGGAAAATTTCCACCCGTCTGAAGGATGCACAAGCAGCTAAATTTAGGCTGTTTTACAAGAGGGCTGGAAGGCAGCCCAGAGGCTAAAGGGGGCTTTATAAGCCCAACAGCTGCCTCTGAGCCGTGCTGTCCTCATCCACCCAGCCGGCTATAAAGAGGGCCGTGCCAGTGCCCCCCTGGACCCGGCTCTGATTCCCATTCTCCTGCAGGAGGAGGGAAGAGGCTCTGTTTCCACTCCTCCCACCCCAGTTGGTTGCCTGGTTGGGTTTATTTGTATTTCTTTGTTCCCCCTCTCTCCCGGCAACGTGCCCCGGGGTGGATGAGCGTGAAGTCCTCCTCTGCCTTCCACTCCCAGCGGCACTTCCACCACAGCTCATCCTCGGCCTCCCCGGTCCCCTTCCAGCAGCAGCGCATGGAGAAAGCCCGCGGGATATTCGCCGATGACTTCGGGAAGTTCATGAGGCCGCGCACGGAGCCTCTGGGCTTCGCAGGCAAGTCGGTGTCTCCGGGCTCCGGCCGGGGGTGTGGCGAGACCCATCCCTGCTCCCTGTTCCTGGGGCAAGAGATGAAGAGACAGGGGATGAGGGATGGGGTGTAGGGCAGAGCTGGGGGCAGCAACAGGGGCAACATTGCTTACCTCCAAACCGCTCCCGGGTGCAGGTCGGACCAGGCCACCTGGGGACGTGGCATCAGATGCTGGGGGCAGCTCAGGCCTGTCCAGCCTCTCAGGGGCTGGGGGCTGCAATATAACCCTTGCAGGCTGCCCCGGTGGGACAGCCCTGGGGCAGCTCATAGCTGTGCTATTCCCCTGGCACCCAAAGGAGGAGCAGGAGGGTGCTGGCTATGGGGCCGTTCCCTTCCGCTCCGGTTCCACCTCCTCCCAGCTGGCTCCACAGCTGGCAGAGCTGCAGGAAGGCACATCTGCCACCGTCCCAGCTTCTCCCAGCGGGAGCAAGGGGTCGGCTTGGGAGCCCCCATTACAGCTTCCAGCAGGAGATTTGGGGGCTCAAAACATCCCAAGACGAGGGAGGTTCCTTCTTCGTTCCTGGCTCCCAAAATACTTCGGACCAGCTGGCAGGCGGGAGGGTGGGAGTGAGCCACTGGGCACCTATGGGTCTCTCAGGGAAGTGACTCGTATCTACTTTACACCCCGGAAATGCCATCCTGCGCTGTAGTCGGTGAGAGGGGATTTCTGGGGGGCGAGGGCCTCAGCCCTGCAGCCGTACTGTGGGAGATACCTGTGAGACCTTGGAGGCAGCGCTGGGTGATTGCATGGGGGAGAAGGATTCACAAGATGCACGCTGCAGGTTTTCTCTGTAACCCCCTGGGCAGGTGATTTGGGGGCCACCCACTGAAAATGAGCGTGTCTTTAGGGGTGGTTTGCAAGCAGGGAGGGGTTCAGTTCCCCGGGGAGCCAGCTTGCAGCACATTGTCACCTTGAACGAGGAAAGGCTCCACGTCAGCGAGCGTGGCTCTTCCTTGGCTGAAGCCACAAGCGCGCCAGGACGCCAGCTAATGATAGCAACCCAGCAGGATCTGTACATGCATCACAGCTTGGGGCTGCCTCCGCTTTGTAGCGGTCCGTTCCAGGCACAGAGAAATGACACTGTTGCCTGGAAAAGGAGGAAAAGCCGAGCCGAGAGCCGCAGCTTTGTCACAGGGCTGAACCTGGAATTCAACGCACAAAGCAGAGCAGATAAGACCTGATCCTGCCGGCGCTTGTAGCTGTGCAAAGCCCTGCCTTCCCGGAGAGTTATCCTGGAAGGGGACCGGCAGAAAGCGAGGGCAGGGTCAGGAGCCGCGTTCCCACACATCGCAGCGGGGCTGCAGGACACTGAAGGCTCCTTGGAAAGGGCAGGACCAGGCTAGACCCGGGCAGTGCTGAGGCTGGTGAAAAACAGGAAGGAAAGAAAGAAAGAAAAAGCCGGTTGCCTTATGTGACTTTACAACCTCCCCTGTAAAATCAAGGGGCAAATCCACCAGCATCTGCCCTCAGATGATACTGGTGATGATAAGAAAAGGCAAGCAAGTGGCAGCCGAGCAAAGGAAATGCTTCTGTCCACAAAGCACAGCAAACCCCACCCCAGGAAGCTGGGTTGCCATTAAGATCAACAGCACCATAGGATTCAACGGAGGGTGATCGATGGTAATAAAAGCATCTCTGACTACAGGGAAAAAAACCTCAGGCATCAGGGCCATAAGCAATTTAGGAAGAAACTTGAGGAAGGGTTACTGGGATGGGATACTGGCCTCAGAGGCCCGTCCATCGGGCTGGTTGACTGTAGCAGTTAAGTCCCAGCACTGACCTGTTCCCTGCAAATGCAGGTGGGCCGTGAGAGGCCTGGGGTGGACACATGCTTCGCATCTCCAGCCCCACTGACCTGGTGCACGAAGCACAGGCGCAGCAGCACAGAGCGCTGTGGATGGGGCTCCGTTGGCATGTGCCCATTTGCAAACGGGTCTCCCCTGGTAGGTCTGCCAGGGACAGACCTACCTAGCCACATCTCCAGTTCCACTGGCAAGGTTTCAAACCCTGAAACACTCCAGCCAGACCCCGTTCCAGGGCGCAACCTATCTCCTCTCTGGGATTTCTTTGCTCCTGACCAGACAAGAGAGGTCCTGCAGCAAAGACATTGCTGGAAAGTCCCTTGAAATCAGTAGAAAGACCTCCACTGCCCTCAAAGGGTGCTGGATCATACCTCACATCTAATGGGGAGAGGACTATATAACCCTGCTCATTTGCTTCCGCCAAGCATGTGAACCCAGTCCAGTTTTCCGTGCCCCTCTCCTGATCCCCAGGGCTGCACATAAGGCAGGTCTAGGTAAAGAGCTGGGTGCCCGCGTTGCTCCAAAATCCACGCAGGGTAGTGGGGGAAGCCCTTGTAAAGGAGTCCGAAGGATTCACGCTGTTCTTCCCCCTCCCTGCAGCCCGTCCAGGCAACGCGGGGAACATTAAGACGCTGGGAGACACCTACCAGTTTGCCGTGGACGTCAGCGACTTCTCCCCCGAGGACATCATCGTCACCACGTCCAACAACCAGATCGAGGTCCACGCGGAGAAGGTGACTAGCCAAGCCCAGACACCTGCTGCTTACACAAAGCAGCAACATCAGGAAGAATCGCAGGGCCCCCCAAAGCCAGAAGCCCCCCCTTTTTTTAATTTGGATGTTTTTGTAGCTTCCTGTTGGCTTTGTGATCTGCTCAAAGCAGGACGGTGCCCCAGGTTCCCGTGTCACATAGGACGCGGTCTTCATCTGCCCATAGCTGGTGTGCTGATGCTGAAGAGCACTGGGACCAGTTCATGGACTGGGATCCAATCTGGGGGG